CACATTTATTATCATGTGATGTTTTGCTCTGATGCGTAAATATGTGATAATTGGTTTAATTGTTACATTGAGGTTACATTTGTGGTAATTATGCTATGTGTGATAATTGTATGAATTATTATATTTGTAATGCTTGAATTGGATTACTTTGGTACTTGGAAATGTCAAGCCATGTTGTATAGATGATTACATGAAGTGTGATGAATTCTTTTGATGAATGTTGTATATATTTCTTATTGTATAATATTTTATAATAATGTGAATTCTCACCCTTCTGTTGGAATGATGTTTTATGTGACATTACTCAGGTACCGAAGATAGTGGTGCTTCGTACGAGGATAGTTGAAGAGCTTAGCTTGGTTTATTCATTTTTCCTAGGTAGTGAATCAATTCTCTTGTCATGTAACACGGGGGGTATTTGAACTCATGTTTGTTGTGAAGAGATATTGTTATATTCTTTTATTTGGTTTATATTTTGAGATAATATGTTGAGTGACCTTAATGCCTAATGTTTTGGATTCATATGACTTGTTATGTGTGAATTGTTGCTATCTTGGTATATGATTATAGTATGGGATATAATAATTTGATACAATTTTGAGTAAAAGAAATATTCCGCTGTGATATGCATAGTTGTGGAAACATGAAGTTTGAATATGTGTTATGTATTATGACCAGGTGTATGTTGATGAATGTTTGTTTGTTTTCTATGTTTTGGAAAATGACATGTGACACCCTTTGAATATTATGAATGATATCTTACTCTATTTTATGCTATATTTTCTTGGGGTTAGAAAGAGGTGTTACACTTGTTCATTCTCTAATTGGTGCACATGATCAATGTTTTCACCAATAACAGCTCAAGTGTATCATCTAGTTTTCTTGGGGTGTGGTTCTAAGATGTTCGTGGAGGATGCTACTACATTGATGGTGGTTTTGCTTTTCGGGGTTCTAGTCTGGTTCTTTTAGTGGTAGTCTTGGTTATGTGAGACATTGTTTTCTTTTTTGTATTTTTTCACTTTTTATATCTTTGATGGAATTTTAGTGCACTTCATGCACCGATTATTAGCTCTTTTATGCCTCTATATTAATATATAATTATGTGCCTTTCAAAAATAGTACTAAGTTGAATTCAATATTATATGTGAAAGAGGAAAATAAAATTTTACCCATGCTATTTTAATATCTTATTAGGGACATTTTGATGGATATAAGTGACATTTCTTGTGGAACCATGATTCTTATGACATAATCCATAATGGACCAAACTATACTCCTACATAATTTCACTTTCTGTAGAGGGGATTGAGTCATTGTTTGGAATTTTCTTTTGAAGAGGCCTCTCTTTAACTATGATGGGTTCATGGTTTAATTTTTTTAGAGGTGACTTCTCTTTGATTGTTACCAAGACTTGGTGGATGGGTCTTAAGAGTCATTTTTCCACTCGTTTGTCACTTGCAATATGTCTGTAATTTTATGGTATAGGATTTTTCGGTGGCCGAGAAGGATAGTTGTCTTACCAACTAATATTATATCTTTGCTTAATATTTTTTTCTGCCTTAGGCGATTTGGATGTGTTTAGAGCTTATCATGATTTGACATACATTGGTGTGGACCTTATGAAAAACTTAGAATAATTTAGCTTTACAAGATCACCGATTGTCAGAGTGTACTTGTGCTTTCTCTAATTGGCTCGTGGATCTATTCAATGTTTGCCCCCAATAGTTGTTCAAATGTGTCATCTAGTTTTCTCGGAGTGTGGTTCTAAATTGCATGTAGGTGATACTATCATGTTGACCATGATTTAATTTGATTTTCTAGATAGCCTAGGTCTTTGAATGGTAGTTTTGGTTATCTTAGGCGCTATTGTATTTTTTGTATTTTTCTTTTGCTTTTTTGTTTCTTTGTAAGCTTTTAATGCACTTCTTGTGTAGATTATTAACTTTTGCTATTTGTACATTTTACCTCCTCTATTTTTTTGTCGAGTCATTACTACAAATATTATATTTTAGGATAAAGCTTTCACCTCACCAAACAAAAAATTAGGATAAAATTCTAAAATGTAGTATGTTATTTTTTAAAATAAATTATCATTTATTCCCTCAATTTAAGAGCAAAATCGAGGAGTAAACTATTTCATAATACATACTTCGGGAGTCACTAGGGCCGACCCAATCAATCCAAGGCCCTGTTATAATTTTAAAAATAGATTTAAAAATATTAATTTATGCCAAATTTTTAAAAAATCGATATAAAATAATAGATTTTAAAAATAAATTATGATTTTACACCACTTTTTTAGAAACAAATGTAAAATAAATTTTGAAAACAAAGTATAATCTTACACCTGTTTTTAAAAAAACTAATATAAAATATATTTTTAGTAATTAAAAAAAATTGTGCCTTCCAAAATTTAGGCCCAATGCTACAACACAAGCTACACCTGCATTGGTCGACCATGAGTATCACCATCTGCATTTTTTATTTTTTTCTTTAAAAGTGTCGTCTTTCTTATTATTTAAGATTTTGTTTTATTATTAAATATTCTATTTCTTTAAGGTTTGTTCGGGAGTTGGTTTTGGAGGGTTTTGAAGATGAGGGTTTTGGAGGGTTGCGTCTATATTTTAAAATACGTGTAATATTTTTAAAAAAATTTAAAAACAATATACTACATTAGCATATAAAACCATATCGATTTTTAAACTTTTTAAAAATATCAAACGCTTTTCAAGATATATATGCAACCCTCCAAAGCCTTCCCCTCCAAAATCTTCTAAAAACCAATTCCCAAACAGACCCTTAGTTTCTCCAATAATTGAGGGGAATGATACCTAGAATTTACTATAAAAATATTCATTCACTAAATTTTACCCTAACTCAAATGCCCAGCCGTCCCATACTCAAACATCATTCTTTCGGACGAATTGTGAGATAGAATTTTTTTTTAGTTTTGTATTGTTGTTCTTCTTACACAAACCTTTAATAAATATTTTTTCTATTCTTACAATCTATATCACGTACTGGTGTTGTTATTGTTGTCGTTGTTGTTGTTGTTTCCACCCGTTGCTAATGTTTAATGAAATAACTTTCAATGTTGTAAATAAAATAAAATAAAACTTTCTATAATATATATATATATATATATATATATATATATATATATATATATATATATATATATATATATATATATATATATATATATATATATATATATATATATATATATATATATATATATATATATATATATATATTGATTTTTTTGTTTAACAACATTGAAATTTATTCTTAATCATATTGCAAAACAAAACAAAAAATTGGTGAATAATAAAAAATTAAAAAAGGAAACAATACATGTTACTTCAATTTTTTCCATTCAGTATTTTTTTGGAAATAGAAGTAATCCATTACCTCGGTTCTTTTAGAAACAGAGGTTAAAAGTACCAAATTTATTGTATTTTTTTATTTAAAAAGAAAAACTTTTTACCTCGGGTTTGAGTCATAACCGAAGGGACAAATAAGCGTGTTTATTGAGTTTCTTCGGAGTCCTTAAACAAATCTTAGTCGGTCATTTTGTGAGTATTAACGCTCAAGACACTATCATTCGTGATTCGCGTGAAACTTAAAAGACATCTATTCAGAAGGCTCATGCTACATTATAAAAAGCATTCTTAATATCGAAAGTTGATCATGAAAGCATTTGTCATGAAAAAATTGAAACTTATGGAAACTTGGGTTCAAGGTTTGTGTTATTAAATAATCATATAACTGAATATTTATTTTATTTATTTAACTATTTTTTGTTTTATATCAGAAACTAATGCAAGTAATATGCAACATTTGATCTTCCTCAAAAATCAATGAAACCAAGATCATATTTGATCTTCACTGATAATAATGATGAATCAGATTCAAAATTTGTTATATATTTTTACTTTAATATTTTGTGTAAACAATGTAATTTATAAACAATTTAATTTAATATTTTGTGTAAACAATGTAATTTGTATTTAAAAAAAATTATTTTCCCTCCATTTTAGTCATAAACCGAGAGGTATGTGACACTAGTTTTGAAAGTATAAAAATATTATTATTGAGGATCGAACCAATGACCATTTCAACTATCCACTCGATTAATCAGAAATTGATTGATAAAGTGATAAGTTTTTATGACGTTCATAGTTTCCCACTTCTATTACCGAGGAAAAATCTACTTCACACCCGAAGTAAAATATGTTTTTTGTAGTAGTGAGTTGTCTGGTAGCTGAAATTCATTGTTTTAAAAGTAAGGCTTAATACATCCTTTGGTCCTTTAACTTAATTTCAGGTTTCATTTAAATCCTTTAATTAATAAACGTTACTTTTAAATCCCTGAAGTGTGATTTCGTTAGTTACATTGGTCTTTTTTGTTAAATTTTGTCAACCGTTAGTTTGTTCATGTGTGACACTCCAACTAGACATTTATTAGTTGACATGAAATTATTGTATTACATATTGATTTAAAATTATAAAATTAAAAACAATTCAAGAGAAACGTATCTGTGACTTCTTTTCTCTTCCACAAACCCTAGCCTCCACCTCTCTCTCAAAGCATAGGAATCAGAAGCATCATTATTGTAAACAGAAGCATCATTATTCTTCTGCAAAGCATCAGAATTGCCAATGTAATTCGAGGATGAGGGTTTTAGGATCGGCGATAGTGACAGCGAGCGGGGTGGAGAAGTGTTTTCCGGTAAGTTAGGGTTTTGAATTGATGAGTTTGGATCGTTGTTGTCCGAGGACTGTTGAGTATATCCACTACAGGTTCTTCGTTCATGTTGGGTTTTACAGATTTACATTTTTTACATGTTTTTCGTTTACGGATTTTGTTTGTCTCCTTTCCTTATGAGCACTGTTGGATAGTTAATTCTTCTTTTTATTTAGTGTAGATTTTCTATTGTAAAGTTTCCTAAAATCTCTCTTTGATTCACTGTACAGGCAAAGGCAGAGGCAGAAAAATGTTTGGGGGACAATCCCGTTTACAAGAAACTGAGAATTCCTTTTCTTCAAAATGTTTTCTTGGACAATCCCGTTTGCAAGAAATTGAGAATTTGGTTCAGGAACTTGCATTGACTGTGAGAAACTCAAACACTTTTAGCAGTTTGGTTCTCATGTTGGATCTGGATGGTTTGGAGATATGGATCTGGATAGACCTAAACTGCACCATCCTTTTGGAAAGCTTTTACTTCCTTGGTGTCATTCCAAGATCTATGAAACAATTTTTTGATATATTTAAAGTTGGAGTGCTAAATACAAAGTGAAAGTTACATTCTGTTTTGTTTTGATATATTAGCAATTTTTCTATCTTGTTTTTCTTTTGGTAAATATTGTTAATGGTGAATATGGAAGTAATAGTAATAACTTCATTTCCTAGATTGTAATTTTCAAATTCAACTATTTTATAATAATAGTTATGGTTGGATTTGTTTCTACAGATGTTGGTTTTGAATCAGACAATTATAGAGTTCTTGTCAATATTGAATAATAGAGTTTTGATGGTCATTTTTTCTTGTCAACATTATTTCTGTCGATGTGTGAGTGATTATTTTATTTTTGGAAGATTTGTTGATAATGTGTTAGCAATGTGGTATTATATTTTTTACACAATATTAACAATTTGGGAATTGAAAACAAAACCTCTTCAATTTAAATAAAATATTAATTATTTAATACAAATGATAACTCAACATATAAATAAATGTTTTGCTGTCATGCCATATAGGCAAAGTTAACGTTTTTTATAGAAAATTTAATGATAAGGACCAATTTGACTAACGAAATAGTATTTAAGAGACTAATATATAACATTTATTAAATGAATGACTAAAATGAAATTTAAAATTAAATTAAAAAGACTTCAACTATAATTAAACCTAAAAATAAATAAGTGAAATATTACTAATTCAAATATATACATTTACATATGATATTTCTACACTATTACCAATTAAATTTCCTTAACGAGACTTTTACCCCCAATTTATATATAATTATTTGCTTTTTAAAAATATACTAAACTGAATTCCATATTTTATGTAAAGGTTGAAAATGGAATTTTACTCATGCTGTTTTAATAACTTGTTGGGACATTTTGATGGATATAGCCTATACGTGACATATCTTGTGGCACACATTTTGATGGATATAGCCTATACGTGACATATCTTGTGGCACAATGATTGATGTGGCATCATCCAGAATGGACCAAACTATACCCACTAGACAATTTCACTTTCTATGTCCAATCAAGTAAAATAAGTGTGAATTTGCATTGCATCGTTGGGGGTACGTACATGGATGATAAATCAGTGGTGCTTAATATGTAACTAATCACAATATATGATATGATTATTTTCAGTGGTTTTTAGTTTATGCCATAATATGTACGTACTACTAACAAATTTTGCAGTCAAGGTTACATGAAGTCCCACAATATTGTACTACACATAACTTGTACAATTTCAAGATTAATTGTTGTTGATCGTTGAAAACGTGTGAGGTTAGTTAGAATTAGAACCGGCAAACAAGGGCTAAAAAGAATTGGAAGTTGGAAGAATGGGAATTTTTTTTATACCGACTGAATATGGAAATTTTGGAACATGTTGAATTAAATACTCATGGATGTTAAAGGAAATTTCTTTGAGATACTTTTCCCTTTGGAGTTGAAAATAAGAAAAAGTATCTTCAATTAGTTTGATATAGTCTAATTAAATATAGTAAACAATGTTGGCTAGATTCTTGGAGTGCTCTTAGAAAGTAGGCCCTCTAAGGAACGTGTGAATCAATGTTCTAGGTGCTTAAGTGTGTGTTTGATTATGAAATAATATATTTTTTTGAATTAATTGACTTTTTAAAATTTATTTTGATTAAAAATGAGTCAAATATAAAATAATTTAGGATTGTATATAATTATGTAAAAAAAAATTTGAATAGTAAATTTTAAAGTAAAACTTTATTTATCCGTAAAGTCTCATTCACAACTTCGAGTAAAATCAATGATGAAAATAAAACTAATTTCACTCAGTATGGTTGTCCGAAAGAGAATAGGAAGATGAATCAATTAATGGTGTTGAGGTGGAACATTTAGTGGAAGAGGTAGAAGTAACTCACAATAGCTCTTTCTAACGAATATCAAAGGAGTTATTCAATTGATGTTCTCGTGTGAGTATATGGCGCCCATCATTGGCTCAGTAAAACTGATCCGAGCCTCAAGTTCAATTCAAAAGAAATTTTTTTTTTCTTCTGAATTTCAAAGTGAGAGTGTGGTAACTACTAAAATCATGGGATGGGGCAGACGGGTTCGGGTGGGTCTGGATTTTCTTGCCATGCCAACCAAATCATGCTTCACATGGTTCTTTTGGTTATTAGTTATCTAACCTACTTCAAAAGATTGAGGGGACGAAAAGGTTGGATCAATGTATGACCATGTCATCGCCAATCGAGAAGTTTTTACAGTCAGAAGATGATGGCTTCACCGTTGATAAATCCATGGTCCTTTAAAACTATTAGAAGATCGATGAAGAAAGCAATATGGTTATTGTCAAATATGGATTTCACAGGAGCTATTATAAGCCAATATTTTTACTATCAGGGTTTGTAGTGCGCCAATTAGAGCATAATCTATAATTTTATTTATTGTTTTATTAATGCTATCTTACATGGATAAATTTATCATTATTATAAGTAAAAATGAAGAACGATAAATCTCATAAATTGTCAGGTTGGTCAATAGCTAAGATGACATCACCAATAAAAGAAGATAAATTCAAATAAATGAATTGGACGCATGACTCAACAACATCTAAAAGTGATGTGAACCTCAGGTGTTTTAATAATTTGTATGTCGCTTACCATGTACAGAATTCTGGCAGGAACCTACACTACACACCACTCAAACGTCAAGGCCAGAATACAAGAGGCTCTCTGTGTAAAATAAAAAACTCTCAGTGTGAGCTCAAGGCTGAAACTCATTGGACTCTTAGTGTAAAATAAAAAATCACTCAGTGTGACCTCAATACAGGAACCCACAAGGTTGTTCTTGTAATTTAATCCAAGACTTCCACAAGGAGAAAACGTAGGAACTCACAAGACTCTCTTGGAAAATTAATCTAAGACTTCAATAAGGAGAAAACCCAACAACACATCGGGATCTCCTTGAAAATTGTCCCAATACATCCTTAGAGAGACAACGCGGGAACCCGTCAGACTCTCTTTTCAAATTAACCCAAAACATCCACAAGGAGCAAACATAAAACCCACCGGGTTCTCCGTGTAAAATAAAAAAGCTCGCAGTGTGAGCTCGAAGCCGGAACCCACCAGACTCTCCGTGCATTATAAAAAGTTCCCAATATGAACACAAATATGTTACCTTTATCCTTTTTGGGTTTCAACGCAAAAGAATTCGGAAGGTTTCAACGCAAAAACGTAGGACGGTAACATATCGAGCTCTTCATTCAAACTTTCTTACTATAAAAAGACTCCTTGAAACTCAACTATATTAATGAGGCAAAAGTAACAAGGTGAGTGGTGAAATCCAAAAATAGAAGCACCCATTAAAGATAAGTCGAGCTCTAAGAAGCTTTAGACAAAGTTATAAGAGCAACTCTGAAGTCTAACTCATTCATCAACTAAGAAGACCTCGAATGCACTTTGTAGAGGAAAATCCAATGAATAGTTGAATTATAAGCATTTTACGCCAAGATAGAAAGGTCCCGCCATAAGGTAATAAGGATGGGTATTGTTGCACCCCAAAAATTTTCCTCTATTTTCTCAAGACATTCCTCACAAAGATCTCTAATGGCTCGAGTTTGCACAAGTATTGACTAAGTCAAACTATCTCCTAAACATTGATGCCTCAAATTAAGGTTTTGATCTTCATAACGACAATTGGACTTCTAATGCCTTAAATGACTTTCATGGATCATCATAGACCTCCAAGAATATTCATGCCAAGTTTCAAATCTTGAATCACAAATTTGCTCAGTCAATTGACCATATGACTGAAAAATCAGTTGTATTGGGTAAAAAGTCAATTATGGTTAACCTACAGTCAAACTTCAAGATTTTTGACCAATATCAACATTTTAAAGTTCTATGCATCATTTGATCAAGTATTGATCACAATCCCTCAAGAAAAACACTCAATTTACCAAAAGAGAAAATGATCAAAATTAGGGTATGATCATTGGCTTTTAACCTAATACATGATCCAATGGATTAAAAGCACAATCTCGAGGATTCAAATACAACATGTTGACCTAATATCATGGCTCAAATCATCTTGTGAAATCAATGGATTGATAGTTGAATTTTGGGTCAACTGATGAAAAGTCAACTGATACACCAAAAGTCAAGCTTTGACTTTTTGGTCAAATTTGAGTTTCAAATATCACAATTCATCAAGAAATTCAAAAATATGAAGCTTTATCATCAATAAATCAAGAAATTCAAAAATCAATTTGAAAAGTCAAACTTTTAAAGACTTAGAATTTTTTCTAAATGTTTTATACATGATAATTTCATTACTTCATGCCAATTTTTCACCAAGATGCAAGATGATTCAAAGGAAACTTTAAAAATGAGAGTTGTAGCTCTTGATGATATCTAAAAATTTGTATTAGAGGGCTCATATCCAAAAAATGCTTAGATTTTGAGTTATAGGTCCATGAAATCATGCATTTTTTCTTAAACACTTAGTGAAATTTTGACCTGGTTTAGGCAGATTTTTGTCCCAACTTCTTGGCCATTTTTCACATAGTTCCAATTGGATTTTGCAAAAGTGGAAAACATGAAAGTTGTATAGGATGTTTCAAGCTTTCTAAAATGTCAAAAAACTTGGAGATATCATTTTTGAGCTAAGAGAATTGAAGAGAAGAAGTTGGGCATCCATTGTTGAATTACAAGGCATTTTTTGTGATAAACACTTGATCCAAACCCTAGCCTATTCTGCATAAATTCACTTTGCAGGCTCCTAACTTGTGTTTCACTCCATAAATTAATTGATTACACAACTTATAGAGCCATTGTACAAGCATTTGAACCATTATCCAAGTTGCATTTCCATTAATGACACAAAGTAACATTGCCATTCTAGTAAAGTGGCTTTAATCACAAAGTCAAATTGTCCTGAGCAATGCACTTGTTCTTTATGCACAAGCATCATCTATACAATCAGATAAGTATGTTTAAAGTGCATAACCACTTTAGATAGCCTTGTACCTTACCTTGGAACAATGCTTGTCAAGCTTGCTTCAAAAATAAG